GAGAGAGAGAGAGAGAGAGTTTTGGATCTTAGATATCTCTATTATCCATGCAGAGTAAGTGGAAATTGCGAGCTGGGAAGGCTGTCTGAGGTTTTGAAATTAGACAGCTACCATGAGAAACATCTTTGGACTGTGACGTAGCTCCCGCAGCCATTGATTGACTTGAGCTTCTCGCTTTCTATTGATCATCTTTATCTCTGCTGAAGCCAATCACAGGTAAAGCTACTGTACAATGTAAATAATTCAATGGGAGGAGCAAAACTCGGCCTTGTTGCTTGGGTTGTATTATGTACTGCTATATAATTTTATCATCTTCCCTTTAATGGAAGCCCATTGTGTTATGGTTAAGAGAAATGCATTTGTCACCCTAGTTCACTGAAAAGGTGATCATGGCAGGTAGTTTGTATTCGACAAAATGGTTTAGGCTTGTATTTTAATATAATATGGAAACAATTTTGAAGTGGACTTAGAGATGATTAGATTGTTAGTCTTTCAGATGGTTGCAGCTGATACTAGATGTTTTTGGTATTAGGGTCTTAGATTTCAGTTGCTTCCCGATCATTTTTTTTATAGTCATTGATTTAAAAGTATCAGAAAATCCTAATTATATAAAAGTTTCAAGGAATTGGGTTTGGGCTTAAAGAAAAAAAAGAAAAAGAAAAAAATAAAACACATATAAAGGCTCTACATGATATTCTATAATTAGTTTGATATAACTTCTCGGCACTCACCAATGCTGCAATCCAAATGATAGCATTGGATTACTACCTCCCTTTTAAAATTTCTTTCTAGTATAATACATGGACTCTGCATGTAAAAAGTTCCCTGAAAAAGAAAAAACAACAAGGAGGAAAATTTAATTTTCCAATGTGGAAGTCAAATATAAATGTGAAAAAGTAATGGTACAGAAATCATTTTCAAATGCAAGATTATACCGTGCTTCTTTTAAGGGTTTCAACGCGCGGGTTTACAACGGTTAAGCTGAACAATGCTTTGGGCAGGTGCTAGCAAATGGTTTGAAACGCATGTTCCGCGGGAGCAGGCGTACGTTAAGCTCCTGTGCTTAATTGGGTTTTACCTGAGGGAGTGGGTGTATAGTATGCGCGTGCAGGAGCATTGTATAGCCACTCCTTTAATTTGTGGTAAAAGCAAGAAGGGAAATAGGGTATGCATGTTGTGGGTGAAAGAGGGCAAGGCAGAAGAGCATGAACAATGAAATTTAGGCAAAAGGGCAATGAGAAAAAGGAGGAAGGGAATGGAGTCCATGGAGACCAAATCCGGCAAGATCAAGAATTTCATGTTCCTGAGGGAGCATATTGTCAATTTATTCCCTGGGATAAAGCCCACCTCAAAACCTTGGGATATAACCTCTTTAACTCATACACTATATTATCTATGGTCTAGAAATAAATAGTGCCTCAAGATTAAATAGAAACCATCCAATTTTTGAAGGATGAGATGTAAGTATTACAAAACTCAAAATTCAAAATTTTTCTTATGAATATAATTATCTATGGATGTTTAGATGATACCCAAAAACTCGAACACGTTAGTCTTCTACCTGCGGGAGTAAGTGTACAACATGCTCCTAGTGTAGTGCTCAATAAAAAAAATCCAATTAATCTAAATTCTCACAAATGTCTTCAGGTGATGTTTAGATACGAGTTAAAACTATTATACATTCGTGAAATTGTTCTTTAGAAAATATTTTCAAATTAAAAAATTCTGTTGTGCCATCAAGTGTGAAAATATTTTCATATCAATGGGTCTTAGTACATATTTTCATAACAATTGACAATTAATTGTTGTAAAAATATTTTTATTAGAAAACATTTTCACGCGAACCGAACGTGCTCTTTCAAACGACTGAAAGTGAATAAGTACTTTTTATCTTTGTATTGGGAACATCTCTCTCACATGAGACATAAAACCATTTATGGCCAAAGAACTCTTCCATGAAAGGAATGCTAGGGTTCTAGTCCTTCAGCTGGAGATGCATTTAAGCGCGCTTACCTTCCAAAACTTTTTCAGAGATGGACTGAGATGGATTTTGGATCCAAAATATTTAACAGGGGCATAATTACCACCAGGATCACAAATGTGGGAAAACAAATTGAGCCCTAGAAATACTCTATTTTGGACCATTTGTTTTAATTATTAGCAAATCGTCAGATCTCCATTGTACATGCAACTGCAACTGCATGCATCTAACAAGAAAATGTATACGCAGTGAATCGAGATGTGTTTCTTTAACTAATTTTATAGAAAAAATGGGTAAACTTGTATGACGCAATAAATTTTCACATAATAGATCAGCGAAGGAGTCAACAAGTCTCAAGGAAACTAGTCAACATCGCACAAAAAAAAAAAAAAAAAAAAAAAAAGAGATCCGGAACTTGCGCAATCTGTTTGAGGGAATTTATTAGGCAAAAATAAACTTTCCTAATTGAACCCTCTAGGCACTTGAAGAAAATAGTGCCTCGAGATCGGATAGAGACTGTCTTATTTCTAGAGGGTGAGATCTAAGCGTTTGAAATCTCAATTTTTATTTTTTGAGAATAGTTATCTAGTGATTCTTAGGTGTCCGTAATCCTCAAACCTCAAATTTTGCAGATATAATCTCTTTAACATGTAGATTGACATCAATAAATAAAATTTCTTAATTGAACCCTCTAGGCACTTGGAAGAAAATAATGTTTCGAGATTGAATAGAGACAGTCCGATTTTTAGAGGGTGAGATCTTAGTGATCAAAATCTCAACAATAGTTTTTTGAGAATAATTATCTAGTGATTTTTGTCAAAATTTTAGATTGAATAAATCCTCTTTTTTTGACCAAGGGAGTAGAAGCAAAAAAGAGGTCGTCGCTGCAACAAGGAGTAAGAAAGTGATGCATCATATTCTCTCTCTAGATCCCTTCCATTGCATCAAGGAGTGAAAAAGTGATGCATCATATTCTCTCTCTAGATCCCTTCCATTGCAGCAAGGAGTGAGAAAGTGATGCATCATATTCTCCCTCTAGACCCCTTCCATGCTTTTCATTGATGAATCCCTTTCAACCACCACATGTTGACCTACAGTCAGTGTTCCATAAACTTAAAGTCTAGTGAGATGCAAGGTGAAGACACACACACTCTCTCTCTCTCTAACAAATGAGGCAAAAAGATTGAAGTCTCTCTCTCTATCTATCTCCTAACAGATTCAAGTGTCTTTCTCTCTCTATCTATCAATCACTCTCCTAAGGTTGGCGAATGGATCGAACAGTTACAAAAATGATGTGTGTTTTCGAGGACGACACAACCACCACTTGGACCTGTGCGCGTTTTCAATGTTGCAGCGTGCACACGCCCACTATTCACCCTCGTGGCATGCCGGACAGACAGAGAGAGAGAGAGAGGATGAAGTTTCGCTTCGCTTTGGATGGTTGGAAAACATTGGTACGTATGAATATGAAAGAGAAAAATGATGTTGAGTCGGTGAAATAGTGTATCTTGCAACGTCTTATATGGACAGTCCATTTTCAAGAGTTTCATATGTTTATAGATCTACTTTATTTGAACTATTTTTAGAGTTTAAAATTTTATAGTTAAATATGAAAATAGATTCTCATCTTGAAAATTTTTTTTATCAAAATTTCGTTTATGATAAAATTTAGAGGTATGCCTCAATTGGATTGTTTAAGGTTGCAACATTATGCAAACTACACGCTTTATGAAAACCAAATAAAGGCTCATCTCAAATCGACGTATCCTGTTCTAAAAAGCATTTCGGCAACTGAAATCTCTATGAAGTCTCTAATTTCTAATACTGACAATAAAATCTGCTAAAAAAATGTACAGATCTTGCGGATATTTAAACACTTATTTTTAGGATGAAACAGACGGTCTAGATAAGTTGTTAAAATATATACTATTTTTTACAGTTTGAAATCTCTTTTTTTTTCCAATGCTTAAATTACAAATTTTTCTATGAATTATTAGGTGAGGCTTTCCTTATTTTGATAGGGCTGCGGCCCGATCAAACCATTGTCCATATATGTGACAAGTTAATGATGAGAATAGAGTATGGGATGTTACTTTGGGGCTCCTCGACCACCAACCACTCTTGCCCATATCCTTTCTTGAGAGCATACTGTACATTTATTCTCTCAAGTAAAACACTTACATAGGTGTATTTAATAAGGGATTATATACAATGAGACCAATTATTATCGGTACAAAGGGGTCACAACTACTTATAACAATCAACATGTGAAATGTGATAGCTTGGATGTCGTCGTTACAAAGTACAAAAAAATTCTTTTTGAACTTTGAGTTTACTCAATATTATAAATTTGGCCACCAAATTTCACATCTATCCCATGGTTAAAATTAATTGCGACCGTCTCATTATATACTTTTCCAGTTAATAATCCCTATGATCTACACTTAATGGAGGCATTGTCTCTCCCTCTCTCTCACGGTCTTCCATGCGCACACTTATCACTCGAAGACTGGAATTTTGAGTAACAAATAAACAAGTCGAAGATACACCTACAAATTCTCTATCACCAAGTCAAGAAGACGTACATCTCTCTCTATCTACATTTATGGTGGGATAATCACAAGACTGGAATTCCAAGTAACAAGGCAAAAAAGTCCAAAACAATCAATCTCTCTCTCTCTCATAGTGGGGTACAAGAAAATTGTGATTTTTGAGTCAACATATTAATGAGACCAAAATAATTATCTATCATACACCCACCAACAAACTAACACGCACAATTTCGGTATTTAAAAACCGTATTCTTCATTGATCTACCAAAAAAAAAAAACTATTTATTTGTTTCAGGATCAGAAAATCAAATTCCTCTATCCATATATAGGTAATTTTCTTGGGGCGAATTTTGTGTTCATCTAATAAGGGAAATCGCACTCTATATGGAGAGAATTAACATTAATTTTAACTTAACTTGCCCCCTCAGTGATTTTGTGGTTGGTCTGATCCTGATACACAGGACCGTCAAATGAATTGCATGCATATTTCTCAAACACTTAAGACAAGCACAAAGAGAGTTTAAAAATCCATTAAGTTTGATCATATATTATGAAATAATTGAAAAGTCTTTGAATAGTGAAGAATGAAAGGAAAGAAATGGAAGATGGAAGAGACCCTAGTTTCCATTCTTTGTGTTTGTTTTGAAAGACGAGAAAAGTGGAAGGGAGGAGATGAGATAGAATTATGAAGAAGTAAATGATAGAGAGATAGATGGTAAAACAAAAGAGACAGGGAATGGTGAAGAGTTGAAAGACGAAAACATAGAGAGGAAGGGCAATCTAGGCACAATTTATTAGTTCTTCTTGCACTATCATGAAAAGAAAAAAAAGTATAAGATGTCATCTTTATACTATTCGTGCATATTAAAAATCCAAGATTGTGTTATGATGTTCTAAAACCCTGTAATTGATCATCTTCACCTCGTGATATATGCATA